AGGGTGAATAAAACCTGAGTGTGCCAAAGGAACTAGGTGAGTCCTCTCCTGATTACCCATAGGTACTTAAAAAACCTTTTGCTGTCTCTGGCGATCATTTCTCAGGTGCTGAAGTGGCTTTATGTATTTGGCCTTTCAGCTCTCTCCAGCTCAGTTCCCTGTCTGCACAGAGGAGACATCAGTGTCTAGGGACTGGGAAAATGTGGGGAGCTTTGGTCACAATTGAATTGTGATGAAGCAGCTGAGAATCTGCACCACTGAGGATGCAGAGGACAAAGTGAGCTCCCATTGCACCACACTGGTGTCCTTCGTGGTGGTGGCCCAGAGGGCAGCTAAGCAGAGGCACTGGATTCAGCTAACAAGCCCTGTTTGTGAGTCACAAAGCAGCAGGGACAGTGCAGAGCTGCAGAGAACTACTGAGTACCAAATGTTGAACTTAGCAGTGCTTGAGATCCTCGCTCACCTTGGTAGCACAAAGAACAGGAGGGGTGTGTTTGGGGTGAGGTAGGTGCACGGCACCTGCCTGCTGCTCTGCTTCTCCCACCTTGTAGCAAGAGAAATGTGTTAACAACCTCAAAAATCATCATATCCCAAGGGAGAAAACAGCCTCCTTCCTTACCAGCTCTGGTATAGGGACTTATCAGTGAGTCCTTAAACTGACCAAGAACAGGCACAGTCATCAGAGCTATTCTGCAGCATTATCCTGTGGTATCACAACTGCCTCTGCAATACCCAGTATAGACACTATTTCTAAATTAAACCCACACTACTAATTCTATCAGACAGGACAAACTTCAAGAGCTGTATTCATTAAAAACTTTCCCCAACATCTGTACTTCAGGACATGGAAGATTCTTTTATCACTTGAAGTCACTGAAGCAAGATGTGTGTTTCTAAAAGAGATGTCTTGACACACAATGCGGAGTCCTGAGACCAGAGTTACTTTATGAAATTCCATTACTTCAATAGAAATATTGGGATCAGCAGTAGTTTCCCAGAGGAAGTACCCATATATCCTCTTAATACAATTCCCAGCCAGCCACTCTGCCCAGATCCAGACAGTTAGTTCTGCGTTGGTTTCAGATGGTGGAAGGACAGGGGAGAGCCAGGTGCATTGCGAATGATGAGACGACAGGGGAAATACATGCCAGTCCATTCCATGGGTCAAGGCACTCATGGAGAGAACACAAACACCTCACCTCCCCCCTAGCCATCCAATTAGCCAAGGAGGGGGATATGCTACACTCATACCTGAGGAGCATCCTTCCCCCAAACCCATGGCCTGGCTTACCATCACATGGGAGCAGGAGAGAGTAGGGAAAAATGGACAGGGCATAGCCCCAGAAGCAGGGGAGGGTCCACAAAGACATATGGACTAGGACAGGGAGAAGCAGCCCAACATCAGGGCTGGGAACAGATCTGGCCAGAGGAGGAGGAGACGTGGGAGATACTAAGTGTCTGGGAAAGGAGAAGAGTGGCATAGGCTGTCCTCAAAGACAGGAAAGCCCACAACATCTAGAAGAAAGCATCAGAAAGTTACTGTAGTGGTAAAAAGAGCAGACAGGTACATTTGGAATTCACTGGAGGGCAGGGTAAAGGCTGGTGTCTATTTCTTTGAGCAACTAACCACGTACCTAAGGGGGCACATGCTGTGGCCGCTTGGTATCCACTGCTCTCTCACAGCTAGACACTTGCCAGCCTTCAGCTGAGACAATTATCATTAAGATGGGCTTGATGAGGTGCTAATTTCAAGCTCTCCTGATTGCCCGCTTCCTTCCCTTAGGGTCAAAGATCACTTTCCACACTGGACACAAAGCCCCTCCCACCCTCTTCCCTGCACACAGGGCAGTTAGTGCTGCTGCCCGGAGCAGGCACCTGGGATCATCCCAGTCACCCAGGACTATCTAGAGCCGGCTGTCTCGGCTCCCTCCACACTTCAGGGTGCCAGAGGGGCTGAAGAAACAAAGCCTAGAGCAGGGCCTTGGAAATCTCCCCCAGGATGCTGTTAGTCAGAGGGTAGTTAGGGGCGCCAGGGCATTCTTGGGAAATTCAAAAGAATTAATACATTTTGTGGGAGAAGAAAAAATATCCAAGTCTGGTGCAGGAGCTGGAGAAAACCAGTGGGTAAAAGTTGTGCAGATCAGCCAAGCATTAAGCGAACCCACTATAAAATAGAGGTTCCTTGGGGAAGCAGCCATTAAGGCTGTGACGGTGCCTTTTTTTATCCAGTGCAAGAGGGGACGGTCTGGCACAGTGCATTTTAGCTTGGCAAGAGAAGGATGACTGGTCCAGCTAGAAGAACGAGGAGGCACTGGTCAGCTGGGACATCTCTTTCCACAGTGGCATTTTCAGGTCTATTTTTTTCAAGAGAGCACAAAGGGAACCCTCACAGCCACTTGCAGGAAGCCAGGCAAGGAACAAAGACCTTTCATCATCTGTTCCTCAGTCCCCCCAGCTCCACCCCACAACACATTTTCCAGACTTTCCAGTCAGCCCTGAGATGTCGACTGGTGCACCAGCTTCATCAGCTCTCTGGCATGATCTCGCTGCATTCCCTCCCACCTTCAATGAGATAAGAGAGTGTCGCTCACACAATGGGTGTTACAACTCAACTCTGGAAACAAAAGCAAACACCAGGAAGTTTGCTGCCAGTCGCAAGGAAAGCATGAGCTGACTTCCCTATGGGAGCAAAAACACTTTTCCTGGTGAAACATCAGCTCTGAAAAGAGCTCCTTTTGTGGTTGTTCTGGGGACAAAGCAAGGAGGCTTCATCAGGGAGGGATCAGAGAAGGGAGCACTTGACAGGGAGTTGCACTAACTCAGGTAATTTGAATGCTTCTGTTTATCAGAGATGATTCACTTCTGTTCACTTTGCACAAAGTATTGTGAAAGACATTGCATTTATCTGCATTGACTCACTGTTTCACAACATGAGCTTAAGGTATCCTCACTGCTATGAGGATGGGAAGGCCTGAACATCCAAAACCCTGACATCAGCCAGGGAAAGACTGCAAAGGATTTTGGTAAATCCAGACAAATCAAGAAATGTGATAAAAACCTGAACTCTCTACTTCTCTATTAAAGAGATGGTGTGAAAACTCTGAAAATAAAAATTCAGATGTTCTGAGACAGCTATCTGTCAAGAAGTCAAGAGGATATTTCTATCTCTGGAAAGATTGCTTTGATTTTTATCACTACAATCTGAGTTTTGCTTGTAGAGAATCAGACTTACAAGGAACATATTGTTCATTCACTAGTGCATGGAGTCACTTGAAATAAGCTTATGGACAATTATCAATCTCATACATCCTTGTTAGATGGAACGCCTGAAGCTAAAAACACAAAAAATCAAAGTTTATGATAGGGACCAGCTGAACCAAAATTACAGCAAAGAACTTGCCAAAGTTGAGAGAGGGAGGTAGAAGATAATGGCTGAATTAAAGACAGCTCTTAAGAAAAGTCACAGGAATGAAGTAAGGGCAACACAGTTCTCTGTATGTTTGCTATGGTGTTACTTATCAGGTACCATTAACATGTTCTGAAATAATTGTTCTCACTGCTTAGCCAGCATTGGTATTTACTGTCACTACTGTCAGAAGTGCTCAAGATCCATAGAGGAGACATGGTTTCTAAAGAATTGCCTTCCATTCAAGCATCTAAATTAATAGCCAAGTTCAGGGGAAGTCTGACTGCATTGGACAGTGTCTGAAAGAACTTCTTAGCTAAAATAAGTGTTTCTTTGCTAAAGGAGCCACATTTTTAAAAAATGAAGAGGGAATGGAATGGGAAAACAGGATACAACTTTACTCAACAAAGTGTTATTCCTCAGACCTCTCCGCAGCCCTTGCCTTCCTCCCACCTCAGCAATACACAATGTCTTCTCGGTCAGGGAGAACATTCCCTCTCCAAGGTCCTATATCATAAGGTTAAAAGCCTGCAATTATTAGGTAATAGTTGTAAAGTGGCAGCACCTAAGTAAATGCAGCTTATGTAAGACTCTATACATACAGATATATATACCAGGAGCAGATCTTGGCAAACATAGTATGGTTCCTGTTAGGAAAAGAGGGCAGAAAGGAAGCAAATACAGAAAAGAGAACAACTTGACTAAGATCTCCAAGGCCCTCAGCAGTGGAGCCATGAAGAGATGCTAGCAGTGCCAAATCCCAATATAGCACCCTACTTCTCCAGAACAATGTTCACCAGAGCTCACATTTTGTTATGGACAAGTGGCATGGCCCTAAATTAAATAACAGTGGAGAGCAAAGCACTGATTGTCCTATTAACTGAGTATCTGTGCAAGGCTACTAAACAGGAGGAAGGAGATATGCATCGGACTCTGATGAATGAAACACAAAAAGATACAAGCACAATCACATGCTTATTGCTGTAAAGAGTTGAACTCTGTAATTATCATCTATGGGGAAGTGTCTCAAAGAGAAAACAAGAAAGGAAATTGCAATGTGTCTATTTATTTCCATAGCTACTGTATGACTGAGAACCACTCAGCAGCCTCTGCTATTTGTAGGAGGGTTTCCCAATAAAACATACCAAAGGTGCAGGAAAAGGGCTTGTGTATTGTTTTCTCAATACACAGCAACAGCCTGACAGGTAGAGTTCCCCACCCCGTAAAGAAGAGGGTGTAAAAACATGCTTTCCTTAGAGACAGTGGGGCAAAAATCACAAAGCCAGGCGCAGGGCAAGGAAAGAGAAGACACACACATGATTAGTGATACAGGAGGAAGCTGAGATTACTGTCAATATCTGCTTCACCACTGCAGGGACAAAGAGAGGTGACATGCTAGAACAAGCAGACTGGCAAGTGCCTGGCCTGCCAGGTATGATCATGACCCTGATGCTGTCCGTTTCCTAGGTCTGCTAACCGTGGGGGCTCAGGGTACACCAAACACCTGTGGTTTAAGAGTCTGCTGTTCCCATTAATGACTCTTGTATTATCACACAGTCCTTAGTAACGGAATGCCACAGCAGTCCAAACTTACCAGTCTCTCCACCCTCTCGCTCAGGTCTCTAAACCTTCCTGAGGACTGTCTGGACAAGTCATTATTGTATCGGATGTTGGTGATTTTTACATTGCCACTGTAATAGAACAGCTTCTGATCTGTAAGAGAAAGAAGAGGAACAGGCAATACTCAAAGTACCAAGATGAATGACCTTTAGAGAAACACCTGGGGCTGACTGATACCCAGACATCTAGGGAGTAGATGAGCCTGTACCCAACCCATTCAAACACAGCTTCCAAAATCCAGGGGCCCAGGAGCAAGAACTCAGTTGAATTAGGTGATCTAAGCCAAGCAGTAACAAAAAGTCCAGTTTCCCCAACAGTTACATTTGTGGCCAGCCAACAGCACTTTGTGCTCACACAGGATCCCAAACGTCATCTTGCTGGTCAGTTACCTTCCTTCCTGGTCTGTATGCCCACTCAACACCAAGCCCTGGCAGGTGGCTGTTGGTGATCGGGCCAAGGGAACAGAGAAGCACAACAGGTAGAGACAAGCGGAAGGCTCTGTTTGTCACTCACGTACGGGAGACCGGAAGACTTGTGTGTTGACGTCATCACAGAAGTAGATCATGAGGAAGATGTGAAAGGAGTGAAAGCCAACAGAGACCGCAGCCCTAAACCACCCTGCACAGCAGGAAATGTTCCTAAGAGATCTGCAAAAATGCTAAATGAGGAAGCAAAGAGAGCTCTAGGGAAGCTGGTGGGTTTTCCCCAAATGAGCTTTAGACACACTGATGAAAAGCAAACTCTCATCATTGTGTGGCACAACAAGCACAAAGGAAATGCACTAAACATAGGAACCCTGATATGTAGTGTAAAACTTACCATACGCCAGAAAATAAACTAGGAGACCAATGGTGATAGCCGCTGCTGCAGCTGTTCCAATAACAATTAGAGCAATTTTCCAGGGCTCAAGATGTCTTGCTTTTATGGCTGGCTGATGAATTCTGGGTGAAAATAAGAACAAAGGGAGAACATTAATAAGAGATCCTTTCAGCTGATTCTTCCCAGCAGTATTGACTTCTCACCCAACATCACTGAAAATGAAACCATGACTCAAGAGTATTTTGAAACAGATGTTGGGACATGCCAGAAGTCACAGAACACAGACAGGGTTTGAAGGTTTGTGGGTTTTTTTGTTATTAGGGACAAATCAAATAGGAGTCCCACTAAGCACTTTCTTATGTGACCACCGACTGGAAATTTGCAAGAATAAAACTTATTTTTCAGCTAGGTGAACTTTCATACAGCAATGTAGGGCAGCTTTCAATTGGTTAAACAAATCATTTACCACAGACGCACTGGTACCTTTGCTTCCAAAATCACTTTATGCAATAAAATTGGTAAAAGACATCCCATGCTTCGTATAGTACATATCTATTCATTATCCAGGATGCTGAGTCCATTTCAGCCTGCAAAGCAGGGCTGGACAAAAAAGAGAAAGAGATTTCAGAGGGCCAGCCTGTGCTTTGTGTTTTACTCAGACTAAATCTAAAAGCAAAAGGCAAGCACTGCTTTAAGCAGTATTTGCTGAAGTGATGGAATGACAGGGAAGGGCAAGCACACGTGAGCAGACTAGGGAACATAGGTAGGAAGCCTTGCCAGACACTTCTCTCTGCCGTGCTCTTAATTGCACGGGTGCTAATCCAAATTAACTCAACAAAAGTCACAGTCAGTAGGTCAATATTATAGTTAGACAAAAAACTGCCTGAAAAAGATTGTTTACAGCAAATTTTGCCTTTGGCTACAAACTCAAAGACATATGAAGATACTTAAGGCTGTTTTTCTATTATGTTATCAGTCGTTACAAAATACAGAACAGGAAGACACAATTTTTGGCAGAGTCCTTCATTCTAGAGCCAGCTACCTCACTCATACAAACATGCGCACCTTCAGGTTAAGGTACAGCCTTCCCCAGGAAAGCAGGCTGCAGGGGTCCTCTCCTGAGGGTATGAGGCATCTCAGTGAGTTCCCACATTCACTACAAGGTACATATAGCTCATTCCCGGAACACTTACCTCATGAGCCATAAGTTTAAATACTTCAAAATAAGTTGCATGCAGGAATGAGACAGCAAGCACACTGTGCACTGTACATAAATATCAAAGCAGGTTCTGATATTTCATTCTAATTTCATTGTAAAGCATTACAATTACAGCCTTACTACTTCAGTCTGGAAAATAACTGACTCAGGCTAAATATTGTGATTCGTTTGTCACTCATATCTGTTCTGACTTTTCCTGGATCTCCTAGCTAGTGTTTCCTTCACTGCTGCTATCCTCTAAAAACAGCTATTAATTAATCTCTCATCTCATCTGGTTTGCTTCAAAATGCCTCCATGAATCCATAGCAAAGAAAGAAAAAAAAAAAGGACAGAAATCAAACAGTCCTGTGAAGAGCATGGAGATGAGCAGCTCCAAAGTTGTTTCTTAGACTACTGTATGGAAGTTGCCTTAAAACTTTAACTGGAGAAATAAAAAAAAACGCAGGTATAAATAGTCAAGACTCTACCTCATTAAGAAGAGCATTTCAAAGTAGTAGCTCTTAGGCGAGTTCAGCTTTAACTTGTCATATGGGTTTGTTGGGGGTCTTTTTCTGCCACTCCAGCTTATAGGCCTTTGCATGATTTATATGATTTGCAAATGTTTATAATATGTTTGAAGGGAGACCAAGTTAAAAGAAAAGCCAACAAAACAAACAAACCCCCCACATTTAACTTAACACAAGCTACTCATGTTCATTCTTGTGGACACTCTCATTTAAAAAGCAGTTGTCTTGGTTAAGCTGCACAGAAGGAAAAACACTCAGAAGGTCTTTCAGCTATAATGATCCTGGCATAGCCCCAAACCAAAATGCTGGGTTTGAGAAGCCCTTTTGAAAGGCTGAATGCCACTCTACACCGCAGCAGGTGAGCATGAAGAAATTACTGCCTATCATATCAGTGGAA